CCAGCAAAGAGACTTTTGTTGTTGTTGATGCTGCTGCTGCTGCTGCTGCTAAAAGGAGACACTGTCTCCTTTCTGTCTCCCTCTTAAGGAGACAGTTGCTGTTAGCAGCAGCAGCAGCAGCAGCAACAGCAGCAGCAACAGGAGCAACAAGAAGGGACTGTCTCCTTTCTTCCTTTAGTATAATTAATTAATTAATTAATTAATTATATAAATAAATAAATAAATAAATAGATAAATATATTTATTTATTTATTTATTTATATAAAAGGAGACAGTTGCTGCAGGAGACACAAAGTTTTTTTCTTTAACTTTGCATGCATCTTACTTTTATTGTATTTATTTATTTATTTATTTATTATTTATTTATTTATTTATTTATTTATTTATTTGTTTATTTATTATTAATATATATAGTACATAGTATATAGTAAATAATACATACTAAATAGTAAATATAAGGTATATATATTATATATATGTGCATGCATGCATGCATGCATGCATGCATTTGGGGCTGCCTGCAGCGCGAAGGAGAAGTTGTCTCTCTTCCCCTAGCTCTAGCTTCTTCTTCTGCTGCTGCTACTGTTGTTGTTGCTGCTGCTTCTGCTGTTGCCGTCGTTGCTGCTGCTGCTGCTGCTGCACTGAGGGATCTATTTGCAACAACAATAGACTCCCTATACACATATATATAAATATATATGTATATATAAATATAAATAAATAAATATATATGTATATAAATATATATATTTATATAAAAATATATATTTATATAAAAATATATATTTATATAAATATATATATGTGTATAAATATATATGTATGCGTATATATACATCTATATACATATATATACATATATGTATAAATAAACAGATAAATCTATATTTATTTATCTACTTATTTGTTTATTTATATTATTTAATTATTTATTTATTTATTTATTTGTCTTTCTTTTTTTTATGTTTATTTCTTTATTGTCTCCTTTTTGTCTCTTTTTGTCCCCTCTTATTAATTATTATTATTTGTCTCCTTTTTTTCCTTTTATTTATTTTATTTATTTATTTAATTTATTTATTTAATTTATTTAATTTATTTAATTAATTTATTTATTTAATTTGTTTATTTATTTACTTAATTTATTTATTTATCTATTTTTATTGGTTTATTTATTTATTTATTTATTTATTTATTTATTTTATTTCTTTTCTTGTTCCCTTTATACTTTTTTTCTTCTTTTTTTTTCTTTTTTTTATTAAATAAATAAAAAAAATTAATTATTTATTTCTTTTAATATATTCAGGTGTATAGGCAGCATGCAAGCAAGTGTTTGGCTGCAGCAGCAGCTGCTGCTGGTGGTGTTGCAGCTGCTGCTGCTGCTGCTGCTGCGACAGCAGCAGCAAGAGACCCAAGGGGGGCCCCCACGCTGCAGCAGGGGGCCCTTAAAGGAATTGTCTGTGGGTATTTTAATTTTATTTATTTGTTGTTTTTATTTATATTTATATTTTTTTCTTAATAAATGGATCAGCAACCTGCAGCAGCAGCAGCAGCGGCTGCTGCTGCTGCTGCCGCCGCTGCAGCAGCAACTGCAGCTAAAGAACGTGCTGTAGCAGCAAAAGAAAGGGCCCAACAGCTCAAAGCTGCAGCAGCAGCAGCTGCTGCTGCTGCTGAAGAACTTAGGAGCAGCAGCAAAACAGCAGCAGCTGCTGCTGCTGCAGCACGGACTGTAGCAGAGGAAAGGCAGCAGCAGCTGCAGCAGGCAAAGGAAGCAGCAGCAGTAGCTGCTGCTGCAGCAGCAGATGCAGAAGAAAAAAGAGCAGCAGCAGCTGAAACAGCGAAGCAGAAGAGAGCAGCAGCAGCAGCAGCAGCACAACGAGCCAAAGAAGCTGAGGCAGCAAAGGCTGCTGCAGCAGAGGCAGCAGCAACAGCAGCAGCAGCAGAAGCAGCAGCAAAGAAGGACGCAAGCGAAAGAAGAACAGAAGCAGCAGCAGCAGCTGCTGCTGCTAGTGAGGCTCATAAGGACCTGCAGCAACTGCAGCAACGCCGCGATGAGGCAGCAGCAACAGCAGCAGCAACTGCTGCTGCTGCTACAAAGAGGAGGGAAGAAGCAGCAGCAGCAGCAGAAGCAGCAGAAGCAGCAAGAAAGGAAGCAATCAGCAAAAGGACACAAGCAATAGCAGCACTAGAGGCAGCAGCAGCAAAACGTTCGCATGCAGCAGATCTACAAGGTGCAGCAGCAGCTGCTGCAGCAGCTGCAGCAGCAGCAACAGCAGCAGCTGATACCTCTGTGAGTGTCACCTAAGGCACTTCTTCCTGCAGTACCCATTGGCTATACCTCTTGTCTATTTAGGGGGGCCCCCTTTACAAATTGAGGGGGGCCCCTTAGCAAGTGGGGCCCCCCTGTGGGGGGCCCCCTGTCTTTAGCAAACGGCGCCCCCTGCACCAACTGGGGGGCCCCCTTTCTATCGCAATTGGGGGCCCCTCCTAGCAATTGGGGGGA